CTTCTCATCCTCTGTGCTTCTGTGTGGCTTCTTTTACTTGATCTAAAATTGAAACTGTACTTCTATATTAAAACTGGGATATTTTGCAATATATCTGGAGTTGAAGTATCTTGATACAGAAGTTTTCAGCTGGTTATTAAGTCTTTGGTTGGAAAATCTCTTCTTTATTCCCCATTTGTGCAATACAAAGTATCTTCTGTATTTGGGATATCATTTGCTTATTAGCACTTTGTCCTTTCATGCAAGTATCGTCCACAACAGAACAGGACACAGCTTCTCCCTGGGGTTTGGTCACCATTTATTATCCAACGAATCTGAGACTAAAGCTGGAGAACAGCTCATGGGCCATGACCTAGAGACAGTTCAATTCAGTAGTTAGGGGAATTTCATGTGAAAAGTGAGTTCTGTAGATAATTTCTTGGCATGGAATCAAGTATCTTTTTCTCTTCTCAGTCCCCTTCAGAACAGCTCCCTGAACTTGCATCAACCCACTTGCCTTGGCTACAAAATGTAAATGCTTATTTCCTTCCTTCTCCTGCTTCTAAACAATGAAACAATATTACATATAAAATAAGCTTACTAGGCCATGAAACTGCAATCCATTTCAATGTCAATTGCACAAATCCCAGAAATAAAGCTCTCTTAAACCTCTCCAGGTTTGAAACTGAGATCAAGTCAGAAAATACTTTTATTGCTGTTATAAAATCAAAGGTTTGTATTCCTTTGAAGACTCTAAGCTTTACCCTACACTAAACTCTCTCTTATCTCCTACACTGGCACAGACAGGATAAACTCATTTAACATATATCAAGTAGATAACTTAAAAAGACAAGCTTGTATCCCTCTCACAAATCAATGGCAATTTCAACCCTGAAAGAAGCAATGTGGCAGGAGCTTCCCATGCCCTCCCACAGCACCTGCCTGCCCAGTTCCGTCTCTGCATTGGGAACTCTCTAGTGGAAAAGCCTGAAGTTTGCATGCTTCCACCTTTCACATTGAGTGTCCCTGCAAATTCTTCATCTGTCTTTTTCCTGGATTGTCTTTGAAAGCCTCTCTATGCTCAACCATACTTTAAGATATCTACAAAGGCAAGAACTAAAAAAAATATATTAAAAAGCAATCCAGCTTATGATTATTAATCTTAATGGATTTTATCAATGAGCTCTGGGTGGCCCACTCTGGCCATCTGTCTCTTCTCACTCCTTTTTTGAAAGCCTGCTATGTAAAAACAGTAGAAGAAAAGGACTGGGTTTCTGCACACCTGCCAAATGCAGGTCCTGCACTTTCAACTGCCAGCACTTCATGCTATACTAAGCTAGGAACAAGCAGATTTATTTAACAAACAAGTTCAACACAGGGATAAAACTGTCAGCCATAAATCATCTGCAGTCTCTCTAACAAGAACATGAGGCTATGCAGGATAACTTTCTGTCCAGCTGGTGCCCTAATGGGCTGAAATCTTTGCTCTCTCAGCAGAGAATCCCTACAAAGCTAAAAACTGGTCTGACTAGGTCAAGTTGAAAAAAGTTCTATTAATGCCTGAGATTGAAGGTTTTATCTTCAGATAAAAAAAGTTAGAAGCAAATTATTTCTTTCCTAACAAGTAAAAGCACACTGAACTGTGATTGTCCTCTGCTGGGCTCAATTCCACAGGTCATATATCTACTGCATTCAGCATCCAACAAGGTGGGTCCTGTGAAAAGGAAAGCTTTAATACTCTTTTCTTCCATGGCCTCCTACATTTGGTGCTTCTCTGCCAGTATCCCATTTCATGCATGTCTAGATTAGGACTGACCACAGGGGTTAGAAGTGCCTCATGCATCACAAAACTCCACTTTATTGCTTCTCTCATTTCCTCCTGACTGCTTGCTGTTCTCTTAGGGAATGCCCTGCATCTGTTACTTGCAAATGATCCATCATCTTTGCCTAAGAAGGCCTGAAGAGCAATCTATTTTGTGATTTTTTAGCCAGCAGGCTCATCTCCGTACTTGTTCAATTTCAACAGTTCTCTGTATGCATTTGAAGCAGCATTTCCTGTTTGCTCAGCACCCCTTTGAAATGATGCTAATTTCTGTAGCTGCACTGTGTCTAAATTTGAGATGATAACAGCATAAACCCCTTGTGGTTTACACTGAAAGAATAAGCCCCTCATTTATAGTTCAGATCTGTGTCTGAATACACCAAGATTATTACTAAATAAAGCTCATCCTGTAGTCAAGCAAGTACAGGCTTAGCCATCATTCTCAACTAGTTCACCCAGTAGCAACTTCTAACAAAAGCACTGCAGACAGTTTTGACCATTTGACCATTATCCATTTCTCTTCTGAGTTTCCCAGGTTTGCCTGTTCTCAGTCTATTCTCATGCAAGAGAGAAGCTAAGTGTTCAGAAAGCAGGCTTTCTAGATGCTTTGATCATTCTTTCTTTCTTAGGTATGTTATTTAAATGCAAGTTATTGATCATGACAATACCCTTATATACATAAAGATAGAATGTTAGTTTACAAATACCAGTCATGAAAGTATTGCAATAATGAGTAACATGGCAGGTTTTGATGAGACTTCTCTGGATGTTCCTCTAGCCATTACATTCTGCATTCAGTTAAATTCAACGTAGAGAGGACGTGTTCAAATACACCCTGATTAACACATTTTCTGGGACTTTTAATAGCAGTGCAATTTCATCTTTCTTGCTTACTTTAGAAAGTATGTTTCATGTTTCTGTTCACTTATTTCCACTTAACTCCAGAAGAGTCTCTCAGACAGCATTCCTTTTCAACAGCCTACCTTTTAAGAAGTAGTTTTGTTGTCAATTTCTCAGCTTCTATGGCATAGGTAGTAAGTTTTACTTAATATGAGCCTAAAAATACTCTTCTAATATTTGTGTAGAGAAGAGCACAAAATAATGCGTGGATAGCTCAGGGCATAAACAGCTGCAATCCTTTTTATCTTCCCCGTGGTGGATGGCTACTTTTCTCTGTTCTACTAAAGCTGCTATTTTTAGGCCTTTAATAAAAGAGCCCAGTTTAAAAGACTGCATGCCAACTATATTGTAGGTATTTCCTCAAACACAGTACAAACACAAACCACAGATAGCACAAAATTAAAAATCATTAAGTGCCTAATGTATTTGGTACCATCTGTCCTGATCAAACCATGTCACAGGAGCCTTTTGTTAGCTTGCTAGTGAATAGAAAGATGCAGCTACACGTGTTCATGCAGTTCTCAAGGAAATGCAATTAAAAGAAAAACTAAAACACAGAAGGACTAAAGGAGAGAGAAAAAAAAAACATATCCCCTGTGGCTACATGTCAGTCAAGGATTTTTACAGAGATATAACTGATTTTGAAAAAGCAGGTAGACATCAATTAAAGTAGACATATTTGACAGCTAAGTACTGATTCGGTCACCTAACATTCTACTGGTTAAATAGGATAACCAAAAGATCTAGAAGGGCTTTCTGTGTATATGAAGGCACCAGCAGAGATACATTGCAAGGAATCAGCAAACTAAACTCACTCATTATGAAACAATGATCAGGGGCCTGTACTGTACACATTTTTGCCCAAACACTCCATGGAACTGAAAGTATTTGTTATCCCAATGAAGCCCACTAGAGGTCATTACGTGGAGAAGTTTAAAATTGATTTAATAATAAAGAGGCAAGTTTAGGCCACCATCCTCATATGTATTACTAGAATCATCTGAGTTGCCACATACATGACAAAATGACAAGTCCTTTAGAACTTTTTGTTAGAACAGGAGATGATGGTTGGCTTACAGAGATACAAAGCAGATTAAATAATTGTTCCCATAATCCATTAGTTAGATGGACTGGAGTACTAAATTGGAGAAGTTTTCCTTAATAGAACACAATGGCATTAAGACACTTAGCTCAGTTCTAGAGCACCTGCTATGATGCTTGAGAATAGTGCAGATGGCAAGCTGAACAAAACGTCAAGACTTTATACCAGTCTTCTATACTGATGATATAACAGAACTTTAATGCAAAGAGATACTTCTGCATCCCTCTGTGTAAAAGGCACTTAGTATCACACATCTGATCATACAGCAGGACTACATCAGAGTCTTATAAAACAAAACAGAAATAGGTAAATATATACATAAAAATATAGGTTTTATACATTTATAAAAATACCACCTTGATAAAAATGGAAAATCTCCATGTCTGATCAGAAATCCTGTAGTAGCACATTGTAAATGCATAAAGAATGCCTTAGATTAGAATGTTTTGCAAATGTTAGATTTTGTGAATGTGTGATGTCCAAATACAACTAAAAGATATTTCATGAATGCCTATCCTCTGTGCAATGGCCAGGTTCAGTGTAATAGTGCTGTCAATCTGCTGTGTAAAGCTCCAATATAAACTTAAGTCACTTATTTCCCCTGTCATTCTTTCATGCACTTGGAGAAAGAGAAACGTCTGCAAACACAACCTTCTGACTGCTAAATGGCTTCTTGGCACACAGGTAACCTGCAACTTTCCATCAGAAAGCCACTTATAATTTTACAGGAAATTGTATCAGCTAAGATGGTATCCCAAGATTAGGGCAAAAAAAAAAAAGATGGATGGTGAAAAACTGTGTTTGCCCCCCAATACCTCTGTGAAGGTTCTGCCTTCCACTTCTGTACAGGAAAGAGGAAGGAGAGCCTCAAAGACCAGTCTGCATTGTTTCTTCAGTTACCTTCTGTGTACTTCAAATTAAGTTGGAAGTTCTATGTTCTATTTGCTGGAGTACCATGAGTGGCTCCAGAATTAATGTCTGCCTAAAGATTCCAATATATAAACTACAGCCACTGGATTAAACTGCTTTTTTCCTAGTCTTTTTGCTTCACTAGCTCCAGTTGCCTAACTCACCCTCCACTGTGTTTATAACTAAGGCAGCGTGAGGGAACTGCACACAGAACAAAGACTTCTTTGGATTATGTACTAAAAGAATCAGTGTTCCCAAAAGACCAAGAACTATTTTGCTAGATCTCACCTCCTCGACCATGTGCTTGACTTTCTTCTGTTGGCAGTGGACCATGTCATCTAGATGTTTGATTCGCTCTCTTAGGCTGGCTGCCACCTCCTCCAGGTGCTGTGACCTGTGCAGAACAAGGTAGAATTCAGCATCACAGTGGGGAGCTGTGCAGTATAAGCAAAATGAGAACAACCCCCACAATCCCTCCATATATCAGGAACACTACTCAAGGAGTAGGTAAGGCAGATTCCACTGAGAGATGTTAATTTGTCTAAAGTACATTTTAATGGTAAGTCAAAGTGGATGTCTCCACCCAAGTTCACTCACCTTTGTCTTGCATACTGGTGTGCTTACTCAGAGCCTGAAGTGCTGACAATTAAACAATGTGACAAAGCTCACTTCCTTAAGATGTCTGGTTTTCCTTGAAGTGAAAGGCATTTTGACAACTCGATCTTTATCATCAGAAAGACACATGTATCCTGACTTACTACCACCTGCAAATGTTTTGGAAATATATACTAAATAAAAGGCAGGAAGTACATCTGCTGGCATCCTTTTAAAAGCTCTCCTGCTACAGGGAAGCCTTGAGTCAAGGACTTGGCATATCTGCCAGCAGTAGCAGAATGCTAACTGGAGTTGTATTAACTTATCAACAGTCAGTAGGAATTGTTGCAGATGTCTCACTTTTGTATGTATGACTCTTTAGACAGATTCTGCAAAACAGATTTCTTAATTCTGTTTAACACAGAAATTGAACATCCACAGAACTCCTGACACAAGTTGGTTTGACAGTTTGCCAGAAAAGTAGTTTTAGAATATGCAAAGAAACAAGAGGGAAGCTTTTTAGTAAGTTTTTGGCATATGGCCATGGGAGCCTCAATTTTCATATAAATATACAATTATTGAAATTCTTCAAAGAAAGCAATAATTTGCTTAAAAAAGAAACTTCTGTACTCCTAGGTTCAGGACTGGACAGAATCTGAGAAGGGGAGGAAGGGAATAAAAAACAAAAAGGCTTTTTTCATCTTGTTCCATGCACAGCAGAAGAAACTGTTGAAGCTACAAATAGAAAAACCATTCTAAGGCAATGAAGCAGATGGCAAACTGTATGACATGATTGCAGTGAGTGACTGAAATTGTACACCACTGCTCCCAGAGAGAGGGTCTCTCCTAGTGAAGTGCTCCACAGAACTGTAACTGCAGCACTTTGACAGGGACTTAAAAAATCAAGGTGTTGCTGCAGGTTTCTCAATCCTGTATATTAAGGTCTCACAAAACTGCAATTCACATTTTGAGGACAGTTGTAATATATATGTAGTCTCTCACTGAAAAATTCAGAATTTATTTTTTAAATATTCAGAATTTAAATAAATAAATAAATCAGAAATTGTTATTTTTACAGGATGCTCTGAATAACTCTCATTGCACTGAACTGGGTAAGTTGGTGACAAATCAATACAACTAGGCAGTGAGATGCTCTTGGCACGGACCTCCTTTTATGCTTATGCTCCCTACAGAACAGCAGGATGCCAAGACTGTAAAACTGAATTTCTGGGTGCCACGGAAATATAAGTAGTAATCAAGCACAATTACACAGTCTCTACTTACAATTAATCTCTAGCTACTCAAGTACTGTCATATAAACCTTTGAGTGGCAAATGCAATTTTTACTCCAATGGCAGTGACCCTATTTCAGTGCTGCATAGATTGCTCTTGAAACTTTGCCTCTGGCTTTGCTTGAAGCATCCTTTTGCCTGGTCATGATGCTCTGTCAGTCATAATGGATGCACATGCCACATGTGGGCAGAAACAGCACATCCAGGTGCCACTACACCACTAGATCTGTCTTTTAAGCCTCATGCTTTTGAGACAACCAGTCACAGAGGTCTCAGTGCCAATAACACCCCCCCCTTTACTTTCCCCAGATTACTTCATACCTTATTTCTGCACTGGGATGCTACACGTGGAAGACAGATTTCTTCTACACCTTCATTTTGTTCAAGTGCATCTGTTAATTTGCACCACATCTGTAAACCTTTCCCTTTAACCCTCAAACATATTCCCCACCTTCCTTCTTTTATCTCTGACAGTTACAGGCAAAACTCTTCCTCTCTTCAAGAATTCACCTTTTCAAAGCATATGTTCTACAGTTTAATACAGGATATGAAAGGTCTTTTCTTTTAAAACTGCATTGAGCAGTCTAGAAGGAAATAATGAAAGTACTCACAGTCAGGATCATACAGTAACAAATCTGGGAATGTACATGTAAGAAAAATGCAACACAGAAATACATCACAACTTGTTCCATCTAAAATGCCTAACTCTGCATGTTTGTGAACAACTCTTCAAGAAAGGTGCATGAAAGTGGCTTTTGTTGCAAAAGTTCATCCTCTTGATGTTTTATTTGTAAATAAACTTACATTCAGATGGACAATCCCTACCAAACTGCAGTGTTAAAGGTAGAAAAAGCAAAATTCAGGTGTCTTCAAAAAACAAAAGCATGAGCCCCTGAAGTTTCCTAGCAATGCTAGAAGTTCCACAAACAAGATATATCTCACCTTTCACTGTCAGAGTTGTTTTCAGATTTTGCTCCAGATATCTGCATTTCATTTAGTTCAAGTTGTTTTTGCAGCTGGTGACGTTCCTAAGCAAGAAATGTTATCCTTCAGTTTCTCATTTGTCAAAATGTAAAGGCTTCCCAAAGCATATTTCAGTGCAATTCAAAAGATAATTTGTGAAATTAGAATAGAAACAGATTAAACAAAATTCCTGCATTTCCTACAGCCAAGGAGCACAGAATGCATAATAACATCAAATTCCCAGCTATGCATGGAAACAAGACCAGAGTTCTCAATTACCTATTCAAAGATGTACAGTTGTACTTGAAACTGATTTTTTTTTAAGAAGAAGATGAGTCATCACAATCTTTAACTACAGCTATGTGAAATTTTCCATGTCATCACTCCAAAAAGATCTCTTACTCCAAGGCTGAGATAAAAGGTATTGCTCTGTCTTCTTCTCTAAAATACTTGTTTATTTTTAGGTGGCCACTAGCAGAGTACTTAGGAAGATCTATGAGGACTTGAGGACTGAATCAACACAAAATACCTGAGGAGTCTGCTACTCGCTTTAATGGGAATTTAACAGAAGCATTCAGTTTTACTCTGGAAGTATCAGCCAGATAAGAGCAAATAAAACAATCAACTAATCTGTACTTGAGAACTACATTGCAATCCTTTATTCACTGCATAATAGTTACAAGTCTGAAACCCAGATTAAATTAATGGAGCGACTAAAAGGGCATCTTAAACTGAATGATTCTCAGTGTAATCACTAGTTCTCCTAATAGATTTGCAAATATTGGACAATAGACAGACACTATTCAGCCTAAGGACTAAACAATAACATTATTTCTGAGGTAGGTGAATTATACCAGAAAATGAAGAGGAAATTTCACTATAACTCGTTGAGACAAAAGATAGAAAGCTTTTTCAGATATCCAAAAAGTTTCAACAAATTAGATTCATATTCAGGAGGTGTCCTGTGATACTCTCAGGCTTAACAATACTTTAATAATAATCTGACTACTACTCTGATCTTTGCCCTGGAGCACAGTCCATAAAAAAAGATGAAGGATAAGCAGGAAATAAAAAGAAGTGATACAAAAACTGCTACAATTAGTTTTAGGGTAGTGCTGCCAGTGTCACAAGAGATAAAAGTCTCAAAGCATTTTTGTCTTTCAGAGCTTTAAATGTAAACTGTCAAAAAAGTGCTCTCAATTACAGTGTGGTAGGGAATACTTAGCCAGGGAGAGGAATAATTAATAATTTTTTAATGCTAGCAGGAAAGGAAGAACCTAAGTTTTTAATAAAAGGCAGTAAAAATTACTCTTCCTTCCCTTTTCTTAAAAATTTTACAGTGGACATTTTAGTGGAGCTACCAACAGCATTTCTAAGTGACTTTGAATCGTTTATGATTACTACTTCATTAGGCTTAGGATACCTTGCACACTGAATAAAGACTGAATGGTCTTTTTTAACTCTTTCTTTAAAAAAATACCAGCTTATTTATTAGGTACATTTTGACACTTTAGGCAGCCCTGACAGTAAAGACCAGCAGAAACATAACAGAACCACTTAATCAGTGTCTCTCTAGATAGTTCAAGTCCATTTCCTTATAGGGATATAATAACTAAGATGCAAACAGCAATGGTATTGATAGTCACTGACAAGGGAATGGAGCAGCAGACACACAACAAAAATTTTAAAATGTTCAAATTTCCTCCATGGGCTTCTGTATTTCCTTCAAAGGCAGCACTCAACTAACTCTCATACCTCTTCCATGCGCTCAATCAGCCGGTCCAGCTCACCAATCCTCTGGTCTTTTTCCTGTATGCTTGTTTCTGTAATCTGCATCTTCTTATTCGCCTCTTCAATAGCCTTCAGAAGCCGATTCGTTTCTTCCTTCAAATAAGAATATTCATGGCCACATTAACATACAATATATAAATTAGGATTTTATTGATTTATTTTTTTTTACACCACAGAACCAGGCTAATAGCTTTGAAGCAGAACTCAAAGCTTTTCACACCTGCCCAGAAGTCTGGAATAATTCTGACCCTAAATGTGAACTGTAGAGAATAAAATCTTTGAGGCACTTTGAAGTGCACAGGTATTTGTAAAGTACCATTATGAAAATCTGAGATAAACTTTTACCCATTTCTCAGATATTTGTTTTCTCTTCTGAGGGTGCTGTGAAGTAACATCATAAGGAAAATAAGCTATTGCAGAAGACAGCATTTTATACCAAAGTTTGGCTTGTTCAGTGTTTTACTTTCCTCACATACAAAACAATATAAAATAAATAGAGTGAGGAAATCTACCTTCAATCTCAGACATTATCTAGCTTTATCAATTAGAAAAATGCAATGAGAAACTACTCATAGAACGGTTTTACTTGAGGGTGGAGGGAAACCAGGTAAAACTTTTGCTCCAGTAGCATCAATGAAGTTGTTCTCCCTCCCCTTCTTAAGCTACGACTAAAATTGGACATTATATTTTCCTTTTTTCTAAAGAATTAGAAGTTAAAAAACCCAACTTACTCAATTTCAGATTTTGAAATCTGAAATCTGATCATTACTCTTACTGAGTTTGAACACATTCTGTTCTCAGCCCTACAACTGCAAAAGCTTGGAAAGCTTAGTGACTGTGGCATGACTAGTGACTGAGACAGGCATGAAGAAACACTATCAACTCTGAAGTATTAAGTGATTGAGAAAGGGCTCCCAAGCTAAGCACCACTCTTACAGACTGGTGGTACATACGAGGAGGATTTCTTTCTCAGCTTTATGTTTCTGCTCCTCTTCTCGCATTTTTTCCTCATACTGACTGTACAGTTTTCTTGTCATCTCTCTCATGACTTCAGCATTTGCTTCTTGCGATGATTCCACCTATGAGAGGGGAAAGGATGAAAGTCACAGTTAACCTGTTAGTCAGTACAGCACTGCTGACAGCAGGAGGAATGGAGTTCACATTATGTTAGAATAACACTTTGAACTTCAGCTCCACCTTGTTACAGATTTGAAGCAGAATTTCATTCTCAACACTGCCAGTATACAGGCTATCCAAATTTGCAGAAGTTACTGTTTCATCAAGTTTCATGTTGTCTGAATTTAACTAGTCATTGCTTATCCAAGACCAGGCTATGTGTCTTTACTGAATCCTTCCATAATAGCCTCCAAGTAACCTGGTTTCATCCACTGAAAAAGATATTTCCTCCCCTCATTTTACAGAAGCATAGCTTAGAGATGCTGTAGACTCAGCTCCTGTTACTGAATGACCATGAACACTCAAAGCAGTAAGTACTTTAAAAGCTGGACCAAAGTATGTGTTGTTAACTAGAAGACACAGCTGTACCTCCCCCCTCCTCTTTCCTGCTTTTTCACATACTGTGTGGACACAAGAACTGGGGTGACCAACAAGCAAAGCAGATCAGGGAACAATTAGGTGTGAAATTCATATACTCAGGGGTGTGGAAGGGTTAATTTTTAACCATGGGACAAGAAACTTTACTACTGCTACAGGGAAGAGGGCAGGAATGGTAATTCAGAGACAGGATTTCCCCCTTATGTTGCCTCCAAACACTGACTGAACCACACCCCTGGTGATTAAAAACTAGATAGGATATTCACAGCTTAAACCCACCTATTCTATACACCCCAATAAAAACAAAGTAAAATAGCTAGTCCAGGACTTACTTATCTTACTAGAGACACTGTAAATCAGACAAGGTTATAGTGATATGCTGTGGGTGCTACAAAAATGTCTAGGAAAAGGAGGAATATACTGTGATCTGGGAGAACAATACAGTGCTCCCTACTGATCACTACAGTTCACACAGCTACAATGTAGCCAGTTCTGATGACTAAGGTTTTGGGGGCTAGGTTGGGTTATTTTTATTTAACGGACTGAAAAATTTATTAAACCCTTGTGTTTATCTTGTACAGTGGTAACAAGTTGTTTTACGACCTTGTAGGATAAAAGAGACTGAGCTCTGATGACTCCACTTGTACTTTAGTTGCCCTCTCTGACATCTCACCTAGACCAACACTGGGGCTATGGTGGTGACCTGCACTTTGTGAGAGGGACCAGAATTAAATTTTGTTTCAGTACAATGCAGGAAGTCTGAAAGGGCCATATCATTCAGAAAAAACCAACAATCAAAACCTGGAGTCCTTAAGATACACTGAACTGGCATCCAAATGAGAGCCATGAGGATGGTGAAGGATCTGGGAGGCATGACTTATGAGGAGTGGCTGAGGTCACTTGGATTTATCATCTTGGAGAAGTGGAGGCTGAGGGGTGACCTCACTGGAGTGTACGGCTTCCTCACTAGGGGAGGAGATGGGGCAGGTACTGATCTCTTCATGCCTGTGAGCAATGACAGGACTCGGGGAAACAGCAGGAAGCTGAATCAGGGGAGGTTTAGGTTAGGTAACAAGAAAAGGTTTTTCACCCAGAGGGTGGTTGAGCACTGGAACAAGCTCCCCAGGAAAGTGGTCACAGCACCAAGCCTGCCAGAGTTCAAGAAGGGTTTGGATGATGCTCTCAGGCACATGATGTGATTCTTTGGGAGCCCTGCACAGGGACTCAAGTTGGACTCAAGTGATCCTGATGGGTCCCTTCCAACTCAGCAGTCCATGATTCTATGATTCTGTGATCTCTGACACTGTCTCTCCATCATTCTTTGCTCATAGCTTGAGCAACGAGGACAGTAAAAACAAGCATAAAAAGGTAGATGCATCAGGGCATCTGTTAAAGTACTCTTAAGCAACATCTTCAACCTCAGTTATTGTTATGATTGTATGAATAAACTGAAGCTACTTAATGAGGTATGTGGGTGTGTTCTCCTATCCAGAAAATGATCATGGCATTTGGTAGCTGCTGTTTTTCAAATGCTAACCTCCCAGACTCCACAACATCCTCTTACATTCACCCCTGGAATAAAGTCTTGGCATCTTTGATACACAATTTTACGTTTAACTTTCAAAGATAGCAAAGAGGTATTTTATTCACTAACTTTGTAATAAAACTGCAACTTTGAGGGCAAAATTTAAACTTTTCCCTCATTAAGACAAGGCATGTATTCTACAGACCTTGACATGCTTGAAGATAAACAAATCCTTAAGTATTCGGTTGAACTGGGACTTAACCTGCAGTTCTCTTAGAACTTAGAAGCAGACATACCTTTCCCTGACTCGTTGGTGCATGTCCTTAAGACTATAGTAAAGTCAAAATGTTGGTTTTAAAATCTTAATTGCATCAGCTTTGCTTTCTTAATTTAAGTGATTTTCCCTCTTTTTATTTCCTGCTGTCAACAGCAGGTAAAAATACAGTTACTTTTATAGCCTGTAAAGCTTCACTACAAAACTAGAACATGAAGTTGAAATACACATTAATATTTTCTCATTTAACCATTCATAACTGGCATGAATGCAAGTCACTAAAGAGCCAAAAAGAAGCATTTTCTTTGACAAAACTAAGCATTTCACACTGGAAATTCTAGTAAAGTACTATATCCAAATTAGTCTATTTTGAGCAATTATGAGGAGGACAAAGGTTTCCTCTCAGGAAGAGTTTTTTGGTTGGTGTTTTGATTTTGTTTTGGCTTGGGTTTTTTTTGCAAATGAGATTTAAGGAACACATTTGGCAGCTGAGGGGAGAAAATGCTTGAGTTTTCTGGCATACAAAACCTTCCAGTCTGTATTTTATTTCTTTGTGTTTCGCTGAAAGAAATAGCTTAATTCTCTATAGAGACTTGCTGTTAGAGCACATACTGACCACATGCTTGTAAGATGTAACAGGTTATCTATTAAAAATTATGCAATACCAAATAAACAAATTTAACACCAACAAATTCTTATGGGGCTGTTAGAGTTATAATATTCCTTAAGTTACAGCAATGGACCCTATATAATGGTTTAAATTTTCACCTACCAACATCACTGAATGGTCATCCCATGTTATGGAAAGACAGACTGCTGCCAGCTGAGATTCTTTGTTATTAAAACAGTATTGGTTCACTGGAATAGGTCAGCTCTAGGGAATGATGAAGGCATAAAGAATGAAGAACCCTTTACAGATAAGGCCAAGGAATTAATTTAACACACTCCTAATATCCTTACTGTGCAGTATTTTTAGGGGAGTTTATATACCACACCTTTAATTTCAGCAACTGATTTTCAATTTGTGCTGTTTCCAGTTGCTTTTGCTTCTCTCTCAGCTTTTCCATAGATTGTTCATGCGTATGTTTTAAATTCCTTATTTGTTCTCTTATGTCAGTGTTCTCCAGTGTAACATCCACTAGAGTTTTCTAGGAGAAAGAGGCAAACCACATATTTAAAATCACAAATTATCTGGTGAACTAATACAGTCAAGAGATTATGGAACAGACAGAGCATTTAAAAGTTTCTTGATATGTCAATGAAGCGTGAACAGTTTTGCAAGTTTTAACATTTAAAATTATGGCTTTTGTTGTATTTAGTCTGCTAGGAGGTATTTCCATGAGGAACATGCTCAGTGAAATCAAGTCCTGGAACACTACAAGAAAAAGAAAGAAACGTGGATATATTTCAGTATGAATGTTACTCCAAACAATCTTCCTTTCTTCTCTCCAGGGGTTGTGCTATACATATTAACTGCACCAGACAGAAAAACCGTAACATACAAGAAATCAGGAACATTAAGTTGTTTGGCTCGGATACATGGGAATTTGGAAATTTATAAAACAGAAAATTAATTCCCACTTTCTCTCTTCCCCTGCATTTCACAGGCTTGTAAAATCTCGCAAGTGTTTAGAATCCAAACATGCCATTTGTATTTCTGTTAAGCAGTGAAGGCAGGAAATCAGTCAGGAGATGTACCACTTTTCACAATACAGAACAAGTCACATTTTTACCTTGGGTAATTTCATAGAGACATGAATAGTGGCATTAATTTGCTGATCAGTCTCTCTTTATTATACACTATTTTTAAAAAACATAGGTGTTGGAATTTTTTTCCCTTAGTTTCCTAAATTGCCTGCCTTAGATCTCCAAGACAGTCCTTTATGGGATTGTTTAGTGTTAGAATTGGTATTTGTCATCCAGGTTTATGCTTAAATCCATGTTAGAAAAGGCAGTTGTCAGCTGTGAAACAGCTATTAAAATGTACCTGCAAGTCTATGGATGCTGATGTCAAGGAGCTGTTCATTTCACTAAAGCTATCTAAGGCTGCAGCCTGCACTCGCACATGATTCTCTAAGGATTCTTGATGAGCATTTGTCACCTGAGCAGGGAAAAAAAAAATAAAGTTTTATATAAAATAATGATCAAGTTTATCTATTCTTTCAAAGGGAGCTAGAGAAGAGAAAGATCCCATGGTTAATTTTCACAGTACTAGGATGCTTAAAATATACAGGCCTCAAACCATATTCTTATACCTCAGAAACAAACAAACAAAACTTAGAATCCAAATATGATAAAATAAATTAGGCACAAGTATTTATGTTTATGCTAGTGTGTAATCACTGTAAAACCTGTTCTTTTTAAAAGGACAAGAGGACACTTGGCAGATGGCTATTCAGAAAATGTATATAAACACAGCGGGCAGATTGTAAAAAGCCAGAGTGAAAAGCAGAAGAATGCAAGAAATTAGGAAATCTATAAAGGTTTGGGTGAACTGCAGAACAGCCTTAATTAAGAAGGAACTGATCAGGTACATGAAGAAGAAACATCAAGACTTAAGAATGAAACAATATGAAGCAGGTAGGAGTCAGCAGAGCGCTTTGTTTTGTGCAAATTTGTTATCTTCTGTTATGTACACACACACATGCTTAAAAACTAGAGAGGGGAAAAAAAGGCACTCAGTGGCATCACTTAAGAAGAGATCAAACCCCAGACAGTGTAAATGACTATGAACCATCCAATAATAAAGAGAAAAAAAATGTTACTAATGGAGGCCAGCCCAACTCATGTTCTTAGATGGATCAGATTTGTTTCTTGATAAAAGCATAAGAACACCAGGGGACTGATATGAAGAACAATTAGGGTTTAGTAACAAAGTCACACACAGATTAGGTCAGCATAGGGAGCAGAAGCCAAGTAGTTACTGTTAACCCTCTATGAACATGTGCTCTTGTAAAAACAAACTAACAAACAAAAGCAGAAATGCTTTGGATGGATTAAGAAAGTTACAAGATAACCTGTGTGACAATACATACCATCCAGGGCAGGATTTTGAAAGTACAAACTTCAAATATACTTCAAGAACAAAAAGTAGTCTTGGAAATTGATGGGCAAAAGCATAGTCATTCAAAGCCAAAGCAAGAAGTATATAAAGGATATACCAAAACCCAACTAAACAAATGAGGAAATTATAAATAGGTAGAAAAACCCTTGTGCTTTCTTTCAGGCACTCTAAAGTATTAAAAAAGTGGGGAAGGTGTCTCATAATGTGCCTTTTGTGTCAGAAGCAGTGCTTCATATACTGCTAATGTGCTTTTAGAACTAGAAATTCTGTCACAGCTGGCCAGAAACCCATAATTAAGAGAGATGTTCAGACTCATGCAGCATTTCTACTGGTCTCACAGAAGATCTGGAAGTGCAGAATATTGTCACTGCTTCTCAGTAAGCAGCAGCAGCAAAGATGACAACACTGCATCTGAATCAGCATTTGCCTACATGCATACTGGTGGGGAACTCACCTTGCTGGCACCATGAAGACTATTTAACATAGTTCACAAAAATTCAGCTTTCTCTCCTCCCTCCTCTCAAGTCAGGGTGGTTTTTGGTCCTTTTTGTTTGGGTTGTTGGGTTTTTTTAGTGTGTTTTTTTTTGTTTGGTTTTTGGTGGGGTTTTTTGAGACTAATTGCCACAGAATAGAAGTACCAGTTTAACAGTAAATTCTGATACGTAGTACAGCATGTAGGGAACTGACAGTGTCCAAACGAGGATGGTAGAAGGGCACAAGTCAGGGTCCCTTGAAGTCAAAATACATTTAATTGGCAAAGCTTCATCTGAACGAGGGGTGTGAAAATCAATGTTGAATATAAAATCCACAGCAAGTTTTCAGGGAGATTTTTTGGACCAAAGAACTCAGCAGTTCAATGTGTAGGATACTTCCACAGACTGCAGCAGCTTTTATTGCTAAAGCAGCATGTCAGAAGAAAGAGAGGTCATCGAATGACCATTGAAAGGTTCAATCAAGAACCAACACGTAAGTCATTTTTAGAACTATCATGCATTTTAATACTAAAGAATATTGCTACTTGTACTATAGTGTTAAGACAGTCAGTAATACAGAGCAAAGTCTGTAGAAATGACACCAACAAAGCTGCACATGACTTCTTATGCTTACATGATCTGTTTATTCAATTCATCTAGCAGCTTACTGGTACAAGCATCTCCACTAATTACCAATACACACAGACAGTTCTACCAAGATCATTCTTTTATTTCCAAGAAGCAGGCAATTAGTGATTTCATGTGCAAAAGCACTCCTCTCCTGCTTTAGCTTCCTGGCGGGAAAGATAAATAGAAAAGTATAGATGTCACAAAAAACAATTAACTGGACTGGTTTGAGAAACTACTTCTGTCCTGCTAAAGCAAAAAAAAAGACACTGGGACTGTTACTTTCATGTGCTTTCCCTGCAAATGAATGTACTTACTTTCAGTTCATTCGTAAGCTGCTGTATTTTTCGTTTCATTTCATCATATTCACCATACATTTTCTTTCTTACTTTTTCCAGAGTTGCTCTCACCTGGTGTCAGAAAAATCAAATGCCTTTATCAAACTTACTGATGATTCTGTTTATATAGGAAATTATTTTTTTTCTATGTCCTTCATTGTTACTTTCAGTAATTTCCATTCTTAATCTATCTTTTCATCAACAGCAATTTACTCTAAGGAACAAGACAAACATTTCAGTCTCAGGACTTGTCTACATAGGGATGATACAAATAAACACCTCTGAGTAATTCTAAACTTCTCTGTACACACTTAGAGACATGTAAAATAATAATTTAAATAATGAATTTCAGTTAAATTATCTGTAACTCATTCTAAAGTGACCACTAAAGGAATTAAAATTAATTTGAGACTATAATGTTTTCTTTCTGAAAAAAAAAATAATCCAAACATGGATTTAACACACTTTCATACTTTTTGCAGTGGTTGATGTTTTCCCTGAGTATCCTTTGAAGGATAAACCCTTTAATTTAGAATTTCTAGGCTCTTAGCTCTAGGCTAAACAATATATTAGCATAAATATATCAATGTAATTTAAAATCCTGAGCAGAGTACTCCATTTTATTTTATCTAAGAACTATGGATGTAAATTATACTTTGCCTTTCTAAGAAAAGGAAAAGAAAAAAAAAAGCATGCTGGAAGCCAGCTTGGGATTACATTGCAATCATGTGCAGAACCAATCTTCTCAAAAGCACACAGTGTAAACCCTAGTTAAATGTTTGCCTACACTCTAACTTCTAGCTACATAATTCAGACACTTTTTTTTCCCCCTCATCTCTTTCACACACAGACTTATTGCACATCATCTAGGGCAGCGAGCTTACCTCTGGATAGGCCTAGGGAGGGAGCACGGTGAAAACATCAGTAGAGTCTCATACAAGACATGATGTTTCTAGCAGCTCCACAGCACACCCTCTCCTTCCCAGAAAGAGGGGCACTGGCCACTAAATCTATGCAAGGAGCAGGTGTGAGCCTAGCCCAGACTACATACTTCCTTTAGGAAGAGAAACAGAGAAGCAAGCTGGCTCCTGCACTTCACCTCAGGAAAGCAGCCCTTGCCCTGTCCCTACCCACACATATGCACAGACACACACCCTTCTGCAAAGTGAAACTGGACTCAGGTACAGAGTAAACTGTCAGCAGTTTTGACATGGACCACCCTTTTTGGTCTATTTATGTCAGCACATACGTGGCACAAGATGAGGACTCTTGTTTAAGAATACTTTTCAAGACAAAACTTATCTGGCAGACCAAAGTTCACAAATCAGCATAGCTGAACACAGCTTCCAGAAGACAGGAGAGCAAGGGCCAGTACATCCCTTCTCATGTCTTTTCCACTTTTTCCTGAAAGGATCAGTACCCTGAATGCACACATAAGACCTGCTGTTTGCCTGGCCTGACATGTCTCTCCATGCCACAAGCTGGCTGTGAACAGAAAAGGGCAGGGAGATGGGTCTTGGTCCAAGGAATCTGCACCAGGTACCAGAATCAGTGCACCCCCGACAGGAAGCTGGCCCTGCCATGCACCAATTCACCCATCCCTGGCACCAGCCCAGCAGGGCAGAGAAACTGCCCAGGCAGGACACCAGCAGCAGAGGCAGCTTGTGTGCCTGACCTGCACTGCAGGAGGGGCAAACCCTACCTGTGAGTGCAGAAACCTGAGGGTGGTGAATGCTGGGAGTTACCAAACTGTGAGTAATAAAAAAGAAGCAAGTGCTGATAGCTAGAGACCAGGCAGATGTTAGGAGCACACATAATTACAGTCTTTTACACTGCTGGCTTGACTCACTTTTCCTCCCTTTTCTATCAACTCAGTTTGCACTTGAATCAGTGGAACATGATAACCATTGACCAATAGCTTCCTGGGTGATGAAGGTGGATGAAAAGAGAAGGTCAAATTATTTGCCCACAACTAATTAGGGGGCTATTGCCAAAGCCTGAGAGCCAAGAACTGACAGGCAAAGAGATGCTGAGTTTGAAGCACAGAAATCAGCAGCATCAGAAATGCTTTTTTTTTTTCTTTCTTTCAGGAGAGCTTCTGCCAATTATGATAGGTGAGCATGCACAGATAAAGTAGTACAAAGTCATCCATATTAGGCTGACTATTTTAGGCTGCCCTAAAATATAGCCAAGTGATTGTACTATGTCACCTAATTTAGGAGTCTTTTCAAAACTGGGGGGCTTGGGGGCAGGGGAAGCAGAGGAACTGAGGAGAGACTTTATCCTCTCAGGTGTCTGCTTACACAGTCTCTTCTGTATGACATTAAAAATTACGAAGGCTTCAGGACAGGAACCTCAAGATCAGTTTGGCAGTTTGCTTGCCCAGTCAGCAAGCATTAACAAGGATCACTTGGCACAGAGGCCTTGAGTCTGGACTACACAGTTCCCAGGTATATAGCATGCTTTTTTACCAACTTCAATACTAACAATGCAAGCTTTTGGCTTCATAGTATATTTCCAGTTCAAATCCAAGTGTTGGGCTAGACAGCAGCCATCCCATACACACTCCCAGCTCTACATGAAAAGGTATTCGAGAAATTTTGAAGCTGAAAGCATAACTCACTTCTTTAATGTAATTCATCTCCTCTTTCAGCTGATCAGCTGACCAGCCATAAACCACCATTTCCCTCTTATGGTTGTTGTCAGTTCGGTGCACAACGCCATACACCATTCCATGAGAGAGCTTCCCTGGAGACATGCCATTTGGTACATGGTAGAGCTCCTGAAAAGTAAAAAAAGAAAAAGTTACTTCTGAAGTACTAGAATAAAAAGAAATCAACAAACAAATACACAGTAACATAGAGCCAGGAGAGACAGCCAAATACAGTGAAAGCACAACAGTACCTAAGAACACTAGTTCCCAAATGTTTTAGGGCCAAACTTTCATGCTTTTGGGAAGACAATAATCAGTTTATAACTGATAGGGATGTCTAATTTCCTCTGGTTTAATGGAAGTGATATAGGTACAGCTAGAGACAACAGATTGGATTTGTGCAAGGAGAGGCAGACACCTGTGAGAGAAAAAGTTATCCTGGCTTATGTAGCAATCATCTGAAATGAGTCAGTCTCCTATTTTTAGGATCCAGCTTTGCAAATATTCAAAGTTAGGTAAGAGTATTTTTTGCCTCCCTTATAAAAGCCACACTGTGGATGTCTTCATCTAAGCTAGTTGTTTAAATTCTTTGTAATCAGAGCTGGATCCTAAAAATAGTGATTTTTTTTCCCTAAATATTAGGTTAGAAAGATACAACCTTAGAAACACAGCTGCTACTGCTTAGCTTTGCACAGTCTGTGAAAGGCTGTGCTGGGGACAAATCAGTTACAGGTAATTTTACTGAATTTCTTTCTCATGCCAGATACACCAGGATATGTGCAAATCTGAGAATACTTACTACATTCACTTTTTAATGTGTTTTGGTTTGTTTTTCAGGAATGACACTGTATGAAAACTCATGAACTTTGAGATTCTTTACTGAACTAAGAGTCTAAGCAGTGTCTAAATACTCTGACACCAAACAGAGGCTGGAAAAGATGAAGCTCAGCGTTTTATATCCATCTGCAGCTGCAACCCAGAGACTCTCCAGTCTTCACAGTGATGGCATCTGGAGTCTAAAGCTGTAGCACTTTTCAGTTTTTAGCAGCCAAACTAACACAACTATGGTGACAGTGTAAGAATAAATACTTCTTTGGGCAAAGGAAAAAGGAACAGGAAAATCCACTTGCATTAAGAAGAATGGGTAAAGATGGACATTTGTTTTATACTGTGTCCCTCCCATGTGGCATTGACAGATTTACTCAACCTTGTAAAACCTACACATTTTCCTTTACTGTATCATTAATAGCTTAACCATTTTGCTGAGGCTCTGGGTGTGTACATGCAGGGCTGGGAGGGAAACAGTCACAGAGCAGACACCTGATAAAGAAATTTTCAGACAAAGAACAACAAAGCTATGAGCCAGCATTTAAAAAGAAAGCCTTAAAACCACTTAATGGAAAAACATTGGGCAACCAGCTCTACCAATACAGGGTATCATTTTGCACTTTGAAAACATTATATGCAAAGCTTTGTATCCGGATCATCAGAAGTTTCATAATTATGTATTACTTGACTTTTTGTTTTGCTGTTTGGATGTCAACCAAAACCAAACACCTGGCACCTGATTTTTTGAGAATACTGAAAAACACAGCTAGATGGGAACATGAATCACAACTTCTTTATGTTTCTTTGCTTCCAGAGTTGTACAGTTTCTTTGATAGTTTCACTGCAGCTCCTCCCCTACATCTGGATAAAGGGATTACATACAAGTTTCCATGTTCCTGATAACCAAATGAATAATCACTTTGATTGTTTAGAGGTTACTAAGGCACCAGACACTGAGTTCATAAATCCATACCCTTTGCCTATGATAATTCATTTTTTATGATGTGAACAGCTGAATACCATCAACTACCAAGATCCTTTGTGCCTCTGAAACATTAGGAGAATTGTTTAGAGTGCTGTTTGCAGAGTTCTGCATGAAAATTATGACCAAGTTCCTTATTTTTAGAATATTATAAACACATTCCTAAGGAATGCTTTGAAGGAGGGTTTTTTCCCCTCTAACAAAGACCTACAAGTTCAGACCAATGGGTCTGCAGCTAGAGAATCACCCTGGGCACTTGAATTTTTCACAGATTAACAGATTTACATTTACATCATAATGGGCAGTACATGTAGGATTAAGTATACACAAAGCCAGACTGGTTGCACATCTTTTGCAACAATGCTAAACTTGCCTGTTGTTTGTATTTGCACAAGCCTCCCAAGATGCCTTTGTCACTTCTGTTTCAGAAGATTAAAAGAATCTCCATCATCTGCTAAGTGTTCCAGTTCTACTACGTGCTATTTAAAATACAAGATATTGCTTTTATCCCCTCCTTATTCCTCCTTTCTCACCACAACCCTCAGGCAAGCACCTGTTAAAATTTCAGTACAGTTCATGCTTGATTTAAAGCTGTGTGAACCAACATATGTCCCATACATACCCAGTCTCAGAAATCAGGTATTATTCTGAGAAGGTCCTTGCCCTTCTCCACCATGATCTGCAGTGCAGCAAATCCATGATGATAACAAAGCAAATACCGCAAAGCTAACAAGAAAAGTACTTGGAGATGGAACGTTTCATTACATTAGTTAACCACTGCTGTTTAAGGTCAAAATATCAGCCAGCTCCAGAGTACAGGGAAGTTCTCACTCCCCACCTGTCCATGCACTTGCTGCAGTGGAACAAGCACAGGTGTTGCCTCAAATAGTGCTCAGGTCCCTTCCAATGTGAGCTGCTGATCCGAGCATAAGCAATGGGTGAATATTTCTTTCTACCTATAGTCTGCAAATGGCAGTCCAAAGTAACAGCAAGAACACATCACATTGATGCACATGAATACCACAGAAGCTTTCAGGAACATCCTTCACCTATGTTGCAGCAATAGTCATGCTGCACTTCGTGTGATCACACAGCATGTACTGAAGAAACGTAGACTGTGTTTACTTTATTAATAAATATTTAAACCAGAAGCCTACACCCCAAGGTTGCAAAAGACTTGATAATTGCCATGCATCCTGTTTATGTCTCTGTCCTGGGAAGTAGCACAAGTGACATGAAACAGGTGAAGCAAAGACACTATAAAAACAAACCCTAAATATGAGTTGTTACCTGTTTGGGTTTTTTTTTTATTGCCCATGGTTTTATTTCATTTATGCAAATGAAGATTTAGATTACTTGATTGAGATATTATTTGTCTCCTAATCTATCTTCATCAGTTCTTAAAATGAAGTCAGATACCCCCATATTTTATACTTTCTCCCTGCCCCAAAACTGGAAGCAGAAGCACAAAGGAGGTATCTTAGTTTGAGGAAAAAGGACACCTAATGTAACAATTAGCACAATTCTGGGTTTAGAACTCATAAAGCCTTAAAATTTTGCTAAGATATGGTCTTCCGTTTACCTACACCATCTAAAAACTCTACTTTTAACCAGAACTATATCAGTTAAGTGAAGCTTTATCTCTTCCTCACCTGCCACATTCCAGAGGTTTCTGAAATACCCAATTAACTTTTGCCAGTTATATTAAGGCAAAAGAACATTCACATAGTTACTTAGGTTACACATTTTCTGTTCTGTAAAATGACAAATTTACAATACTGAGCTGTTCCATGTGCTGTAGGGGAATAGGAAAAAAAACATTAAAAACATAGGTAGCTTTTGTCAGGTAACAGCTCAGTTACTGTGTTTTTATGGGTTTTCTTTCCTATTCCCCTATGGCCCATGAAACTCAGGTTACACTTAGGCATGTTTCATATATAAATAGTATTAAAATAGGGAATATATGCCAAGACGTAGACATGAATTCTCTTAAATTCATGATGCTAAATAAGAAACATCATTTAACATATTCCAACTTAGAAACTCCTTGAAATGTAGAATTTAGCTGCTATCCCAAAAATAGCAGTGTCGGGCATTATACAGTTACATCTAATCAATGAAATCTGTACCCAGAACACCAGTGTTCATACACTGAGAAAATAAGATACAACAAATACAGCAGTCAGTAAAATTCTTTCTGTGGTTTCATTGTAGTGCTGTTTCTAATGAAGGTGTCACTTAATTAGCACACAACAAAAATCAAGCAGTTACTGTTGGAGAGGCTGATAAAGAGTAACATCAGCCACCTGTAGCAAGTGAACCACGTTTGTTATGACACAACTTCTGCTATGCTGATGGGAGTGGGCTGGCAGCAACACATCAGCAGAGAAAGTAGGTACTGTCCTAGATTTAATGTGCACAACAACCCTGTGTTCACTGCACTCATATTCTTTGATCCAGGCCTGACACAAGTTTCTGCTTGATTCTTGATTCTCTCCATCACAAATTCCCCTTCTGGCTTCTTTACAGCCTACTTTTTTGCTGTTTGCTATGCTTCTGAATTCCTGCTTAGGAAGCAAAAAGTTTCACCTCTTGGTTATGATGCATTGAAACCAAGAAAACTAAGAGTTTGAGGATATATAAAACCAAAGTATCAATTACAGTTTAAGACTAAACACTGCTCAAGCTCTGTTGAAAGCCACAAAGACAGGAAAGTGTCACAAATTTCTACAATGTTATCTCCTTTTCATTCTCTTGTCCATGTGTCCAAATGAAAAAGAAAAATCCGTCTACGCTTATCTTCATATTCTGCTCTCAAATGCTTAGCTGCAGCTTCCAATGACACTTCTAAATTTAGCGATGGCAGTGAAGAAAGGGACTGACAGATAAAAATAAGCCCAGTCCCAAACAGGGACAACACAATTCTCTAGTAGCCCTTTATTATGCAAGACAAGGCAGGCTTCAGGACATGCAGATTTTGCATACAATCTGATGAGCACAGTACTCCTTTGTACTTCATGGTGAAGAAAACAGCCTCACACTACTGTCATCCATTGTCTGTCATTAACAGAAGTGATGGAACAAAATCAGGATAGTTTCAGATTCTCTCTACAACAAATGCTAACAAACCAGAGATGTTTAGCAGTAGGCATCAAGCCAGTAAAAAGCAAACTAACCAACCAGCATCTCCCTGTGACTTCACTTCTCATCTGCTTCTTTCAAGGTACCATAACCTAAATACAAATAACCAACCTGACACACTGGAGCACAAGCTCACTCCCCCTTCATTTTTTGAGGTCAACTTCTAACTGTGTACCATCTGCCAACCTTTCACAACAGACAGGGAGAGGCCATCCTAGCACAGAAATGCCTGCAGCAATTCTGTTGCAACAAAACTGCCCAGCTTCATCACTTTGTTTTAACCTCTTCCACTAATTCATTTTTATTTCACGGATGTAGAGCAATAAAAAAGTCAACCTAGAAACTTAATGCACTTGTGCAGTTTTCATGAAATACAGCATACATTTTCTGCTACACTTGAACTACAATGAAAAAGGCCAACAGCTGCTAACACCACCAATGAATAATCAGCTCTGATCTTACAGCAAGCTCCAATACAAGTTATTGGGAGGATCAGCACTAGCAAGAGCTTCTGTGCAGTTCACTAGATGATTTTACATCTGAAACATCTTTTAATGGTACTGAGCCCCAGAAATGTACAGAAAAGTAACAAATAGTCAGTAAGCCACTGCTATGTCACATTAGGGCAACTCAAAATCACCTCCTTCTAGTGAAAGATTTGAAAGAGGAGATCACACCCAGTTGCCATGCCACAGTGTATTTATAGTTTACTGGCATTCCCCCTGACACAGCAAGGTCTCTGCTCTCCTCCCTTACCAGCAGCAGGCAGAAGCAGGGAAGAGTGTCTTTCTCCAGCACCTGGTCCTGCCCAAAGAGCAGCCAGGCTCAGACTGCTTCATCTGCCTCAGTGCTCCACCAAAACTGTACAATCTCCTGCCGTTCATTTCCCTAAGTCACACTAATATATTTGAAATACAAAAAGCATTTTTCATGTTCCCATTTTTTCAATACTTTTTAAGACAGCATAGAACTCTAGATACTAACAAGAGACCTGCTGTTAAACTTGATTCTTGGTGAAGCTGTATTTTTGTTACCTTAAACTGTAAATGTGAGGCAGAAAACAGCAGTTTCCTAATTATTCCTACTTCCAAGAAGGCAGCACAGTTCCCATAGGACTGTGTGAGGATTATCTAACATTTGTAAAACCTGTTATTCTCAAACTGCTTTAAACAATTTCATTAACACTGAGTCAGTTGAACATGGGTGGATCAGCAGAGATACCTGATCACTACTTTTAGGAGAAACCTTTTTTAAATTAAATTTTGCAGTATGACTGGCCAAGAGTCCTGTGTGCACTGCTGGTTACTGTGTAACTAATTCAAATACATAAAGTAATACATTATATAGACAATAAAAATCTACAGGTAATACTTTATTGTCTTGTTTTAGAGATATGAGGAAAACCAGTTCATGATCAGTATTTTTTGTAGCTAATTCTTTACACTATGACTATACTGTCTGTAGGGCTATATTTTAAATTACACAAAGACCATAAAACACAAGTAGATGGAACAATTATTCTGTTTTTTTTAATTGCTATGAAATTGACTAGTTATATCCCATCTAGCTCTGAAGGCTGTATGTGTGCTTTCTAGAAGTCTTTAAATTGAGTAAAGTACTAAACTTTAGGAAACTACTGAAAACAGACAATAACTAAATTACATACAATTTTTTTGTTCTCAACTAAAAAGGACCCATGTCTTAAAACAATCAATCTACAATATAACAGAATGTAAGATGAGCCTAAGCATGTATTTATTACCTTTCATATCCTCTTCTTAATATTCTCTGACCTAAAGTCTACTTGCCTTTACTTGTATTACAGGGGAAATACAAGCTCTCATTAAATATAAGGTCCCACAGAGAAAATAATTCCTCACATAAGAAAGTCCAGAAAAATTGTCCAGGCTCTAATCATTCACACTTCTTTCTTATTGCACAACTCAGCACAGTAAAGTGAGTAAGCCATGAGTCAGTATCTATCCTCCTCAAAAGTAAACTTGCATGTCTCTCAGGGCAATGGGTCCACATGCTTAGGAGAGTCTGAGAGTTTCTGCAATCAGATAAAAAATGACAGAGACTGACAGAGCAAGCGGTGGGGGAAACTACTCTTAAGTGCTACAGTTAAAAACCTCTGTACAAAATGAGTTATTACTATTTAATGATGGCCCAAATTTAGTTTGCACTAAGGCCTCTTTAATCCATTCTGTAAGCAAAATTTATAGATCCTCAAGGACCTATTGCTCTGCCAGAGCAGTGTATAAGAAGCTGACTGTATATAACATTCCACACAAGAAATAGCTAATAAGGCATATTTACCTTGACCATTTTACTTTGCATTTATTTTTATTGCTTTAAAATGTTTGTCTTTCTGAATCATTTTATAGTTACTTTTGCTTCTGAGTACCACTAAGAAATTATTTCAAATAAATCCTATTGTTGTGCTTCCTATTGTCATGTCACTATTCAGATATTGGGTCTGGTAAACTCAGCCAACTACTTGTTTGATTTTGGTTTACTGAACTGTAAATATGGTGAAGCTGTGCAATCTGTCCAGCTTCCCTTTTTAGTCTCCATCCTTGAAACACATTAAACATCATCTATGGCTCTGAAGGAGCTCTGAAAGAACAAGTTCCACAGCAAAGCAGCTGTAATATTTTTTTGTGTGCCTGCTACTTGCTTCTACCAAAAAAATTGCCCTTCTGAAGCCCTCTACACACATCACCTTGAAATCACTTTCATTTCAGAACAATCTTGAATTATTTATTTTATATTTCTTATGAGTATATCACCTGTTACCAAAATTAACCAACACAGCAAGACATCTAAGTCCCAGGCAAGCCAGCTCCCATACACATGAAGGCTCAACTCTTGCACACTGTTAAGCCTAAGTGAATAATAAAACCCTCTTTGGGTGAGGATCAAGATCTTGCCTACTGCAATACACAAATATTAAACAATCGAGTCTTAAAGGTTCAGAAATCACCTACAATCTCTGTGCTTTTCCTCTACTACTGTGCTATTTTACATGCAGTTTTGCTATCCCCAACTCCCAGGACTCAGGCTCAAAGCTCACAGCTAACTTGTTCAAAAACTTCCAAAAACAACTGGGCTTCGAACTCACAAAACAACTCATATCACCTTCTGTGGATGCCAATATATACTCCTTGTTTATACAGATTTTAACTTTGATTCTTAAAACTTACGTTTTTCTTTCTTTCAGGTTCCTTTGCTCCCTGATCAGGTTGCGAGATTTCATCAGGTGGCACTGTTAAACGTAACCTACAGACATTCATCTGAAAGAAAAGAAAGGTTTGCTTTTAGATAAGCATTACAAAAAATATTCTAGTAACTTGCTTTACAGGATGAATTGTACTGACATTCAAGTTTTAATTTACTATTTTCTACCTTCTACCACATAGGTGACAAAAGATTGTTTTTTAAAGGTTGGAGGGGTTTTTAGCTGGCAAGAAATAATTCAAGGCATCCCCATAATGACATACCTGAAATAGCAAAAATCCATTTCAATCAACAACACATTCTTATGTACTCATAAATGACATTGGGAGCTGAGATAACAGAACAATGAACATAATTTTCTAGTTCTTAGTTTTGTTTGCAAATTTGGCATACTTTTCATCTTCAAAAGGGATTATTTAGGAACACAAAGTGTATTCTGGAGTTAACGCCTCTTTTCAGTATGTATCTAAGCATTTGATGGAAGGATACTTCTGTACTGCAATTCCACTGAATGTGAATAGGGGTATTTTTGAAATCTGATACAAGTTATTTGTAAAAACTAAACTTCAAAATGCTTCAGAGAAAATTTAAAGGGAATTGTTTCCTATCTGATTTCAGAAAAGCCATTATCTTGCTGAGGAATCAGGCCAATAACTTTCTATCCCCAGACGCAGTTTGTTTTGCTTTTGGCTGAAAGACCTTTGGTGTAATGATATTTTTAAAGCCACATATTTCATACAAGAAACCCGGTTAAAATGTTCAGTTTTAGTCCTATTCATGAGACATTTTTGTTGAAAACAACTGTAAGTCCTAAACAGAACACAGAAAATAATGAAATGGTAAATTTGCCTGTCAACATTTAAAGCTGCATACCCTCCTGTGAAATCCCAGCTGTTAGTTGACAACAACTAGGGCTCCTACAGCTCCTTCTCAAAATGTCTCAAGTATCTCTTTCATGATCACTGTGGGCCATCCACACTGTTCTTCTATAGTCTAGCATCTCATCTGATCTAGATCTCTCCATTTTCTCCAAAATACTTACCTCCAGTCATGCTGAATGTGTACCTTGGCTCTGAAACACACCTTTTCATTGCACTTGCCCAAGCTTACAGCTCATGTCTTAGTCATGACAGCACTTCCATTTGCCTTGAAAATGCCTACCATGTTGTGCTCACAGGCACTCAGAGCCCAGCATCAAAGTCCTTTTCATAGACTCTACATTCTACTATTCTATGATTCACTTCTTCCAACTCTTGCATTAAGAAAGCTAACTAGACTTCACTTTCAAGACTCTTTACAACATAACCTCCTCAGAATACCATTATTCAGGATCATGACAAGGATTCCCTTTTTCCCTGTTTCCAAATAATTGACCTTTTCCAACTTGTCAAACAAGCTTTAACTTTTTCTTCTTCCCAAGCAAGAACAATTGGAAGAACAATGTGCAAACACCTGCAGCCACTTCACTATTTTTCTTCCAGCCTTTCTTTAAATCTGTTGAGACAACAAATCAACTGTGTTTAGGCTACAGGTATGCTGTCAACTATATTAGAAATACTGCTTTATACTGCCTTCCATCTTCCTCTCTCAGTTTGGTCTTTCAGGTCTGCAAGGCCTTCTACCAATAAGGAACTGTGTCTTCAGATACAGATAAAGTTCCTATAAAATACGTGAGTCCTGTCTATACTATAAAGAAGAAAAAGAAAAGAAAAAAAAAATCATCTGTAGTAAGATCAAGTTAAAAGATCTTAGTTAAAAGCAGGTTATGCTTTCATATTTGCTAAAGAATCCTGAAACAATAAAATTATATTTCAATTATGCATATGTTTTTGACACTGATTGACTGCTATGTTTGCTCTTCTGAGAACAGAGCTTCCCCATATACTGCAGAAGCTGGAGATGCTTCCTGCTTGCAAGTTAATTATCAAGATATGTTAATAATAAACTCCTCAGTTTCAGACCTCATTGATACATAAGGTAATTAATACCACCTTTTCTCACCTATTTAATTTCCATTTCCTCCTGCTTTTTCTTCCCATTAGCTTAGATAGGCTCTTTCCTCTTACAATATGCCTGCTTACAACAAGAAGAGAGACAAGAGTCTGGCATTCCTCCATGTAGGCAAACAAAGACCAGACCCATAAATAGGAAATAGAACTGAATTTCTGCTGTGCAGGAAGTGATAGATGAAGCCAACTTTTTCTTACAGTGATTTCAAATGAAGAAAAACTGGACTAAAAGGAATGAAAGGAGAAAACATGAAAAATACCTTAAATAAACAGAAATATATAATGACTCTCAACTCAAAGTTAGGAGAAATGGAGCTGTGTATCACTGTCTGAAGCTGGCAAATGGCTTGGCTGTTAGTCAGTATGGGACTAATTATATCCAACATACTTACAGATTCACAGTGCAGTGATTGTAAAGAAGTAATTATCCCTGTACCTGTATACCAGTTAGTGAATCATGTCTGCCTGTCACATTAGAGCAGTTGATACTACAGGGTTACTGTGAAGGAAATCACAGAAGCCCAGTACAGATTGGCAGTCAAATTGTAACAACTACATTGGAAATCTAAATTAATAACAGTAATTTTTAAAGACTAAAACCACTGTACAATCAAAAGGTTGTTAACATTCAAACTCTTATTCCTACCCTTTTCACATTGGCTTCTCAATTAAGCCCCTGAATCGTTTCCCCCTACACTTCCTCATTTCCATGCTAGCTCCTTACTTTTAACATACCTCAAATCAGTGTCACATTTTGGTAAGTATTTCTTACAAAAAATGTTAATTCCCTACTTCACAGCCTGTGGCATACAGATGCCAAACGGAGGGTAGCACTGGCAATCATCTAAGGATTCCAGCCTTGAAGTCAGGCCTACTGAGGCTTGTACAGCAGTGGCAGAGTACCACCCAATTCCTCACTAGGACAAACTTACACAGGCTGTACTCTTGCTATTGTTTACAACAATAGCACTTCCTCAGTATCCCTGGGGAACAACAGCAAACTTATAAAGTGGCCTTTCATTCCTG